TTCACAGTTCTTACAGAGACATCCGATGATGTTGCACCAAGGACTATCAGGCTTTCCACCACCAGGGTATTTAAATGTGCACGATCCAATGAATAGGCATCCTCCTTGGATGTAATCCAATCAGTTATCTATGCTACTTAGATGTGATCCATCAGTATCAAAATAGTGTATTTGGTTCATAACTTCTATTTTTTTCTTTTTTTAATCAGTTTAATTTATCTTGTTATCATAGGAAGAAGAGAAAAAGAGTTGTTATTTATTGAGGTTCGAAAAAACTAAAAAGATAAACTTCAGCTGCGCTACCGATGCGTCAAGAAAAATGAATGAATTTTCTCTTAAAAGGAGTAAAAATGGTTAAAATAAAATATGATAAGTTCTACTGTATACCTACATTGGTAAAAACAATGTTATTGATTRGTGATTTCTGTCTGAGTAAAGGGTTAAAATAGGTAAACATCATTAGCTTTGGAAAATTATTTTCTTGACTGAACACTTGTGCGCCTTGTAAAATAGTAGGAGAACACCACAAAAATAAGTGTTTTTTCCAGGATAAATAAAAGATATTTCTGCTTAGAAATTTATGACAATTTTAGATTTGTGATTTCAGTAATGATTTAGAGTATATTTTAATGAATTGTCTTGGTGTCCTAGGTCTGCCCTTATACTACTAACAATTGGTTTTATTATTATTATATAGATTTATAAATTTATAATTTTTTTTTTTTTTAGTGTTTATGGTATTCTGTTTGTTTTACCTTAAAAACTTTCAGGCCATTTATTGCAAGCAATATATTTTGTTAATCTGTCTATGATATTTCAATATACTTTTAACTCTACATATGCCCTGAGAGGTTTACATTTATTTTTTTTTTACTTGACCAGTGAACACTTGAACGGTTTCATGCAACACCAAACAAGACAATTATTTATTATCGTTTTGGATATTTCCTTGTTCAAGTACATGAACTCATTTTGCATACAAATCGACTAGTGAGTTATTTTTCTAATCATTGTTGTACGTCAATTATGAATTTAGAGCTAATATATAATGATTTTATATGTATGCTCAGAATAGCTTGTTCTCAATAACATACAATCATATATTATGTTGTCTAGAATAAAATTTAAACTGACAGATAGTAATAGTTTATTATATTGTAAAAAAATAATTTGTATTATTATTTATTATATTATTTATTTTATTATTATTACTACTACTATTATTATTATTTACCTAAATATTTCTTATTATAAAATGCTGTGACAAGAAATTGTTCTCGCATTGATCTCATCTGTCATTTTAATATCATACAACTTAAAATCTAAAAATATAGAAAAAAAAATACAAATTAAATTGTAAATGCAAGCTAATTAGAAAAAAAATTGTAAAACTATTAAACTATTATTTATTTTTTAATTGTTAGATATTTTTTTTTTCATGTTATTTGTTAAGAAACAAAACGACGAATTGTTTATCATATTTACATGTATCTTATGTTGCCTTACAATTATGTGTGTATAATGTATATGTATCATATGCACATATCTATTTGTACAATGGGCGATGTTTAAATATTATATAAG